AAAAAAAAAAAAAAAAAATGTCATTGGTAAAGTATACCATTTGCAGAAAATTAAAATGCTAAGTGGAAAAAGTAAAAACCCCTGGGATACGTGGTGCCTGTTGATAAAACAATGTACACACACAAACAAGATGGGAAGAAAACATGGCCTACTGAAATGTCTCTGTTAACTCTGGTTGTCTTTCAAGGAAAAATAACACCAGGATTTCCTTTATCAGTTTTCTCTGCGCTCCAATTTTTTTCTTACATACACATACACTCAATTCTTCAGTGAAAGGAAAATAAAATGTATTGATTTTTACTGTTTCCCTGATGGCATATACCACTCAAGAAAAGAGTCTTCGGTCAGTCTCTGGAAGCTGGAGACCTAGAGGAAGAAAGGGTACTGTGATGTGACAATCTTGCCAGTGTTAAGTTCCGTGTCACCAGGACTTGGCCAACCTATGAGGTTAAAACTTAATCTCAGTTCAAGAAAAGGAAGTCATTCTCCAAAAATCACAAATGAAAAAAAATAAATTTCTGGCAATGCCACTACACTCTATCAGAATAGCTGAAATAGAGAAGACGAGGCCGGGCGTGGTGGTTCACGCCTGTAATCCTCCACTCAGGGAGGCCAAGGCATGTGGATCGGCCAAGCTCAAGAGTTCGAGACCAGCCAGAGCAACAGTGAGACTCTGTCTCTACTAAAAATAGAAAAACTAGCCAGGTGTTGTGAAAGGTGCCTGTTGTTCCAGCTACTCGGGAGGCTGAGGCAGGAGGACTGTTTGAGCCCAAGAGAGTTTGAGGTTGCTGTGAGCTACGATGAGGCCATGGCACTCTACCAAGGGCAGAGTGAGACTCTGTCTCTAAATAAATAAATAAGTGAATGAATGAAGATTCACTAATAATAGCGGGGCACAGTGGCTCACGCCTGTAATCCTTGCACTCAGGGAGGCCAAAATGGGTGAATCTTCTGAACTTAGGAGTTTGAAACCAGCCTGAGCAAGAGTAAAACCTCATCTCTACTAAAAATAGAAAAAAAAAAAAAACTAGCTGCAGGCATCCTGTCGGGCATCTACAGTCCCAAGTACTTGGGAAGCTGAAGCTAGGGGATCACCTGAGCCCAAGAGTTTGAGGTTGGTGTGAGCTATGATGCCACAGCACTCTACCCAGGGTGACAGAGTGAGACTCTGTCTCAAAAAAAAAAGTTACTAATCACACTAAGCAGCACCACACCTGCCCAAATGGCAATGAATGAGTGCTCCCCGTTGTAGTGGGCAAGTGATGCCATAACAAACCTCCCCTCCTGGAGGCCCAAACAGCAGAACCGTCTCCTCCCACAGTCGCGGAGGCTGCAAGCCCACAGTGAGTGTCGGCACATTTGGTTTCTCCAGAGGCCTCTCCCCTGGGCTGGCGGGTGGTCACGTTCTGGCCGTGTCCTCGTGGGGTCTTTCCTCTGGTGTCTCTCTGGATACTTAAACTCCTCATCTTAGACACTGCTCAGACTGGATGCAGCCCTGCCCTAAAGCTTCATGTTAAAATGCTCCTCTCTTCAAAGTCCCGATGTCCTAGGGTCAGGGCTCCAAATTATGGATTTGGTGAGGGAGAGGGAATTCAGCCCATAATGTTTCTTCTAAGAGCTCAAGGCTCTTAGAGCTCCTCAGTTATTAAAAAGCTGACCTCGGCTCGGCGCCTGTGGCTCAAGCGGCTAAGGCGCCAGCCACGTACACCTAAGGTGGCGGGTTCGAATCCCCAGCCCGGGCCCGCCAAACAACAATGATAGCTGCAACCAAAAAATGGCCAG